AGGGTTCAGGGGATCTCGTAGTCGAGCAGTCTCGACTAGAGCTTTCTTACTTGTTTATATTAGATTATTTCCGTATCGGAATCGCAATCTCTTTTTTCTTTATGTCTCTCCCTCTCTCTCTCTCTCTCTCTCTTTCTCACTCTTTCTTTCTGTATCTCTCATTCACTCTTCTTTTTAATTTTAGTTTTTGTATATTTACTTTAAAATCTTGAAAGATATCCTAAGATAAATATTTTAAATTTATGAACCAAGTTATTTTAGCAGACATAGCTGACATACCAAAATTTTTAAAATCAAAAGGTTGATCAGCGTTCTTGGAATTTGAATATTCACTACTATTTATGCACATATTTGAGTGAATATATTATTATTTAAACCTTCAGGCTCAAACAATTTACGGTTTTAGTTTACATAAAGAGAAGAAAAATAATCTTAGTTAAATCCACTTAGTTCACTGGCAAGACTGAAATGCATGTATAAGGAACTAAACTCTCGCTGTTCAGCATCATATTATATATATTTATTATATCCTGAGCCCATTGAAAATGGGAAATCAGGGTATAATGAAAAAGTATTTAAAGGGCAGAAGGAATCATCGCAGACCCTATAAAATATATATATTCTTGATCAGCACGACGAGCTAAGCCGATATAGCCCTGTTCGTCCGACTAGTTTATATTATATAAATATAAACTCTGACAAATTCATATAGTATTCTAAAGTAATATATAAGAACAGTTTAAATTAGTCACTCCGGTTTATATATTGTACATATGTAACATATGTGATCTATTTTGCAAGAGTTATTTTTAGTTTTGTATAGTTTATCTTTTTTAAATTTTGCTCCCTTCTCTGCGGCTACTGCTTTCAATTTTCACTTGCTCAAGACGGCTGTCGCCGTCGGTGCTATTGTGGTTGTTGTTGTTGTTATTGTAGCTGGCAAACTGTAAGAGTGACCCATGCTTAAGTGCTTTGTTTGGGCCCCGCTGCCACAGCATGACCGAGGCTCACAGAAACTCAGCTGCTGCGACTGACCGTCAACGCGGGTCTGTTGGCCAGGCTGGCCGGCCGCTTGTTTTAGCCCGAAGTGCTTCAAGTGCGTTAGCGTTAGAGCTCCGGCCTGTCTACACATGCTCACACGGACCGGGAACTCGAACCGTCTGTTGCTGATGCATTTGTAATTTCCATGCCAGCATTTGGCTGTACAGCGCCCAAGGTAGCGCACTGAGTTTTGTGTGTGTGTATGTGCATGAGAGAGGGAGAGACTGCCTCGTGTTATTAAAATTGATGGCATTTAATTGAACTGGCCATCAACGTCAGCCCACAGTGCCGTTTTTTCCCCATTTAGCCATTTCGCGGTCTGTTGCCCCATTTGCAATTGCGACGCTTAGAAGGGACCATTCATTTGGATCTCGGCTCTCTCGATGCGAATGTGAGTGCGAATGCATATGCTAATGCGCATTATGTGGCCAACAGCAGCAGCAGCAGGCAACTGACTGCCATATATTTTGTGTCCAAATAAATACGTATGTATGTATGTATGCAGCATCTATCTATATACATATACACGTATATTTAAATACATATGGACAGATGACCATTTCCCATTGCGCATATAATCACCGCTTTTACCGAAATGCACACGCTGACTTCATATTTCTGCCAATTTAGTGGCGGTGCGCGTTTAGGCGACCCAGAGATTTGAAATCACACTTGTGCCTATTGCCAAAGTGGTGCAATAAAAAAGTGAATGTTGCCCCGAGAGGCACACACACACATTATGAAAAAGACGCAGCTGAAGAGTCGTAGCAGCCGCATGGCAGCTTCTTCGGCGCGTCTTCAAAATGGTCGTCTTGGCCATAAACTGCTCATTTGACTTTGGCTGGGAGCTGCTGCGCGCTTCGAGCTGTGAGCAGCGCGATTGCGTTGAACGTGCCGCCCGAGCAGCCAGCGATAATTATGATGAGACTGACGACCAAAAGCCGCAGACTGCAACCGGGTTGCCAGCTGTGTGTGTGTGTGTGTTGCTATGCAGTGCGCGCTGCCTGCAATGCGGATTTTGCACCAAATGCGACTTGTTGGCAAAACCAAACAATAAATTACAAAAACAGTTGATAGGGTTTAATGTGCACTTGGTGTGCGATTGGTTATAATTGACAGTTCGCTTGGCTGGCTGGCTGTCTGTCCGGCCGTCCGGCCGTCTGTCCCTCTGTCTGAGTCTCTGTCTGGCGACGTGCTTCGCTGCACCACCGCTGCAGCACCACACTATCACAGCAGCAACCAGCACCCAGCACCAACTGACTCGTCGTTATGTCTGTTACGTTTCTTGGCAGTTAATTGCCAGGCGCGCGCACATTGATTTACTAGTGGATTTTTATATAAAACTGTCGTATTTAAGTTATAATTATGAAGCAACATGGCGTATGAGCAATGCTTAACACACACATACGGACAACACTTTCGATGTTAGCACATCAGAATTTATTTCATTGCTCATTCGCCGTGGGGGCAAGCCAAAACCTCAGCCAAGCCGCCAGGCTTTAAATTCACACACACATAAATACCTTCTCATACACACACACATAGAATCCACACATGCTTTTATTTTTCCTCCAACTATTTTTCACACTCTGCGGGCGCCTTTTGAACCTTGAAATAATAGTTTCCCACACTGGCGATAGAGCTGGCCAAATGTTTCGATTTTCCTTTTGGCTTTGCTATCTATCTTGGCCAAGCAGAAAGCTGAAAACTAAAAACTGA